GAGGATGGACGCCACGAGCCTGCTCTTCAGGTCCGACCAACGTCAAAAAAGGAGGAGGAGGAGGAGGAGGAGGAGGAGGAGGAGGAGGAGGAGGGAGGAGGAGGAGGAGGAGGAGGAGGAGGATGAGGAACGGAGGAGCAGGAGGAGGAGGAGGAACGGAGCAGGAGGAGGAGGAGGAGGAGGAGGAGGAGGAGCAGGAGGAAGGCTCGGAGGCGTCTACGTGACAACAAGAACCCCACCTGAGGATAGGGAGAACACCGCCCTCATGGGCTGCCCGCCCCTGGTGCGGCCGCCGCGGCTGGGCGCGACGCCCATCGGGGCCGAGCCCGCCGCCGAGGCGCCGGAGGCGGGCGGCAGCACCGCCGCCGCCCAGGCGGCGCCGCGGTGCGCGGCCCCTGGCGCGGGCCGCCCTGCCGGGGGCACGAAGCACCTGGGAGGGGCGCCAGCTGCCGAGGGGCATCACAAGAGAAGCCTCGATGTGGACCCACGTATAGCCCAAGAGAGCCACACGACGAGCCCATGAGAAGCCTCGATGTGGACCCGAGTATAGCCCAGGAGAGCGACACGACGAGCCCAGACGGCCTCCGAGGCGGCCTGCGAGGGGCAACGCTCCAAGAGGCAGCTGAGAGGCACTCCGAGGGACTCCAGCGTGCCTCCAAGATTTTCTCGTCCTGCCTGCGGGGGAGGGGTCGGCGGAGCGGCGCAAGCCTCTTGAAGAAAGGTGCCCCTGCCCTGGCTTTTCGCTCCGTTTTGGAGCCCCTGGGGCCCGCTGGGCCTCGCCGAGGGGTACTGATCAAGGGGGGAGAGGGGGGGATGGACCTTCTGGCGAAGCTTTCCCATCCCTTCCCCTTCTCCTTCTCCTCCTCCTTCTCCTCCTCTTCGTCCTCCTTCTCCTCCTCCTCGTCCTCCTCCTCCTCCTCCTCCTCATCCAATCCCCCTCCACCCCTTCCGACAGCAAGTGGCCATCCCCCCCCGCGGATCCAAGGGGGGAGCGACTCTTGCCCCATCCAGACTACCCAAACACGCTCGCGTCGTGGACCAGCACAACGGCGATTTTTAAAACCGTTCTCGGCCTCAGGGGCCGTCAGAGACGGCTGGGGATGAAGAACGTGCCCTGGGGAAAGGGTTGGGACCTTCGGAGGCCTCGCACTGACAAAGTCAAGACATCGCATACCTGGGTATAAGCATACAACTACACCGATTCCCTGAGGGCTTGACGACTCTTCTCCAGTCGACGTGCGGGACACACGATAGACAACTCGGCAAGCTCAATCCAGAAACTCGGGGTATGTCCAAGTCAATCCAGGTATATACCCAAAGACCTCCAGGAGATCTGGAGCGAACCGTGGACACTCCAGCGCTTCCCAGGGACAGCGGGAGTCGTTAAGCCCTCAACGACCGATCCCTGGTCGGGCCCATCCTGGGCCCCGGTTCGGTGCGCACGCCCCCTAACTTGGGTTAAGTCGGGCCTGTCCCCCTACAGGGGGATTTTCGACGAAAAATAAAAATACCCCACAAATAGCAAAACAATAATCTAAAAATAGTCTCGGGACTATTTTTGGAATCTGTTTTGACCTTTTTTGGGGCATTTGTGGGGTATTTTTCATTTTTTCGTAGAAAATCTCCCTGTAGGGGGACACGCCCGACTTAAGGCTTGGGCAGGAAGGCATACACTGGGGGCAGGGCGAGCCGAGGCCACGGCAGCACTCTGCCCCTGGACCGCTCCTGGGGCTCCAAACGTACCAGCTTCGCGAGCTGCGTCGAGCCTTGGCGACGCCCCCCCCCCCTCCCCTCCTCGTCCTTCTCCTCCTCGTCCTCCTTCTCGTCCTCCTCCTCCTTCTCCTTGTCCTCCTCCTCCTCCTCCTCCTCCTCCTCCTCCTCCTCCCCGACGGCCACCTGCCGTTGCCCCAACTCGCCCGCCTTTGACATGCGCCCCGATCCTGGGCACAGGGTGGGCACGGCCAGGGCCGTTGCAGGTGCAGGTGCGCAGCTCGTGCAGGCTTGCGCAGGAAGGCACATATGAAGGGGCCCCAGGACACACAAATAAACATACCGCATAGACCACCCTTCGGGTGAGAAGGAGGTGAGGGGGGGGAGGGACCAACGTCGCACTCGATTGATCTCACTATCGAACTCACTACCGATCTCACAATCGATCTCAACCGATAGATCTCACAATCGATCTGACTATCGATCTCACAATAAATCTCACAATCGATCCCACAATCGATCTCACATTCGGTCTCGCTATTGATCTCACAATCGATATCACAATCGATCTCGCATTCGATCTGACTTTCGATCTCACTATCAAACTCACTATCGATCTCAGTATCGATCTCACATTCGGTCTCACTATTGATCTCACTATCGATATCACAATCGATCTCACAATCGATCTCGCATTTGGCCTCACTATCGATCCCTCTATCGAACTCACTTTCGATCTCATTATCGATCTCACTATCGATCTCACTATCGATGTCACAACCGAACTCACAATCGATCTCACATTCGGTCTCATCATCGATCTCACTACCGAAATCACTACCGATCTCATTACCGAGAGTGATCTCACTACTAACTCAATCGATCGATCTCACAATCGATCTGACTATCGATCTCACAATCGATTCCACAATCGATCTCACATTCGGTCTCACTATCGATCTCACTATCGATATCACAATCGATCTCACAATCGATATCCCATCCGGTCTCACAACCGATCTCACTATCGATCTCATTATCGATCTCACATTCGGTATCACAATCGATCTCACAATCGATCTCACAATCGATCTGACATTCGATCTCACAATCGATATCACAATCGATATCACTACCGATCTCACTATCGATCATCAAAACAAAACATCAACATCGTCATCATCATCACATCATCATCATCATCATCATCATCATCATCATCATCATCATCATCATCATCATCATCATCACATCATCATCAATCAATCGGGACACCGACGGGGCACCGGCGGGACACCGCGGGCCCCCGGCCGCCCGGAAGGGAATCATTTGGTCCGGCCGCGCCTCAGCCACACGGGACACCAGCGGGACACCGCGGGATACCGCCCCGGCCGCCCGGAAGGGAATCATTTGGTCCGGCCGCGCCTCAGGGACACAGGGACACCGGGACAACGGCGGGACACCGCGGGGCCCCGGCCGCCCGGAAGGGAATCATTTGGTCCGGCCGCGCCTCAGCCATAGGAGACTTTCCTCTCGCCCGCCCACGCAGCTTCGCCTCGCCCGCACGCACGGCACGCACGAACACGAAACCGAAATCGATTTCCCGGTAAGGGGGCTCTCCGTTCCACTTCGATCTCACCCCCTCACCTCCGATTCCCCATAGTCTCCATATTTTCTGGGTTTTTGTCTTTCCCCCCACTTCCCATATTTTCCCATATTTTCTGGGGGATCGACGATTCATTGTGTCTTTCTTTCCCTCCTGAACATACAGCAAGCGCACACGATGAGAAATCTTACTCTAAGGAATCCTGGGGGTACATCCTTCGCCGGCTCTGAGCGTCGCTGGGTGCTCCAGGGATCCGCGACGCCGTCCAGAGGCACGACACTTCTCGTAGGGCACCCGTTGGCTGGCTGGCTCCTCACTTGGCGTGCCCGCTGCACACCGATCCTGGGCTTACGTCGGGCATGCCCCTCTACAGGAGGAATATTCAAAAAATAGTCAAAGAATAACTTTATCGTTTTTTTAAACCATTTTTGACGATGCTTGATCTTTGTTTGACTAGGAGGACATGCCCGACCTAAATCCTGGGCCCAAGATCGGCCTGCCCAGGACCGTGCCCTCCGACAGAGGCACCGCCGCGGCCCCGCGAGCGCGAGCGCGAGCGCGAGGAGGAGCGCGGCGCTCCGGGCGCGGTGCCCGCGGCGCGGCGCCCCCCGCGCCATCGCCGCGGCGATCGCGCTCCTGCGGACGGGGAGGCGGCGGGACTCCTTCTGGCCATCGCTCGGACGTCCACTTCCCGTGCTTTTTGCGGTCTCGCGCGCGGTTTTTGTCGCCAAATGATCAAGGACTTAATGGGCCCTGGAAACGACAAGGCCGTTTTTTGACCGGATCCGTTTTGCCGTTTTTTTGCCGGCTCCGACGCTGTTTTTTAACGGTTCCGTCGCCGTTTTTTGACCGGTTCCGGCTCCGGGTCCAATCCTGGAGCCGTTTTTTTGCCGTCTCCGGTCGCCGTTTTTTGGCCGTTTCCATTTTCAAGGGACATGTTTTCGGACACGGTGAAAAAACGGCCCTGCCGTTTCCGGGGCCCACAAAGATCGAGGCTGCTCCTCGAGGGTCCTCGCCGAAGGAGAAATAAATGCACACGTCCGAGCGCTGCCAAGCCTTCGGCTGCGCGCAGGAGCTCAGATCTGGTTGACCCGAGAGGGGGGTCCAGCCGAAAGGGGGTGGTGCAGCAGATGTGGGGCAACTGTGTTGCAGATGCACTGCGCCGGAGAAGTGTACAGTCGGGGCGCTGACCTAAGGAACCTTAAATCATGAACGAGGCCACTTTTGTCCAGAGGTTGAACTTCGATTTCCCATCGAAAACCTAAGGAAAACGAAAGGCAAACTGTGAAACAATGAAGGAACACGGAGCCCCTCCCCAACGAAAAGGGTTCCTTCTCCAGGGCCTCGACTGTACTACATCGTGTTGCAGCTGGTAGATGGCACGCGAAGGCCCAGCAACACATCTGCGCGCCGGAGTGTTTTGCACGCCCCAACTCCACTGCCACCCCGCAAGTCTATTGCACCAGATCTGTTGCACCACCGCCTCGTTGCTGGAACCCCTTTTGGGGTCAACCAGATCAGAGGAGGAGAAGGCACCCTCCTTCCTTCCCTCCTGGCACGTCATGATGTCTTCATGGCGTTGACCCCTGGAGGTCTCGACCCATTCCCCATGGATCGGTTTTTCATCCCGGGTCGTTTTTTGACGGCCCCGAGGCCCGGCGAGGGCCTCCAGAGGCCGAAAATCGCGAAAATCCGTCCGTCGTGATTTTTTTTTTTGCATGGCTCGAGGGGGTCTGGCACCCATGCCGCCGCCTTTCCCTCCTCGCCTGCCTGGGCCTCCTAGGCCCTCGCCGCCACGACCGGGTTCGCCTCGAGGTCCTGGCCAGCCAGAGCGCACTCCTGGAGAGGTCCGGGGAGCAGCAGCATCAGCACCTCCTTGCTTCCCCCGGAGTAGCCCCACGGCAGGTTCGAGTCGTGTCGACCCGCGCGTTGGTTCCGGAAACCGCGGGGATTGTTCAACCTTGAACGATCGACCGCTTGCGCACCGCCCGACCGTTCAACATCGACCGATTCTGAGCCGCCGCCGGTCGACACGACACGAACCTACCGTAGAAGCAATAGCCAAGGGCTCCCAACTTCGCGCTTCGCGCTGCGCGAAGCGCGAAGTGCGAATAACTTCGCGCTCTCGCGCCGCCTCCCAGAGGAGAAGAGGAGGATGAGGAGCAATCGGAGCCGAACCGCGAAGCGCGAATAACTTCGCGCCCTCGAGGGTGCCTTTGAAGAGTGGACCTCTGGCGCGTGGTTCTGCTCAAGGGGCCGCGGTGAGGGGGGGGAGGGGGGCAGGTGGAGGCAAGTGCGAAGGTGGGCCCGCTCGAAGAGGACACTCCGGCGAGAGGTCACTCTTTCGGCTAGGCGTAAGAGTTACCCTGGGTAAGAGTGACCTTTGATGCTAGGGGGCAAACGAACCTACCTCGCTTTTGACCACCCTCGCTTCCAAGAGCTACCAAGCGATGCCAAACTACGGCCTGTACTGGTCAGGCCGCTCGACGGGGAGGCGCGTGGTATGACTTGGTTTTGCCTGGAAGCGAAAGCGGGGTAGGTAGTTCGCACTCTGAGATGCGCAGCTTTTCGGGGAGCGAGGGAGCCAAACCCAAGGGCGCGGGCCGCTGATGTCGCATCGCGTTCGGCGATCGGGGGGAGCCCGATGAGCCCGCACTGGAGGTCACTCCGGCGAAGGGTCACTCTTGCGTGTCGTCGACTCTTGCGCGCATCCGACGATGGGCGCGCAGGTCCCAGCGGGCTCAGCCGGCCTTTGAGCCGGAATTGGCTGCGGTCAGGATGCTGGAAGGAACACCGCTCTGGCTTCGGGAGGGGCTCGGGATGTTCCTGGGGTCCTTCCTCAGGTTTTCCTCGGGCGCTCCTTGGCAATCTATGCGCAACTGGGGCCACACATCTATCTTCCTCCCTATCTCATCTCATTGCGGCACTGCTATTTCTGTGCAGAAGTTAACCCTGAGTCTCAACGAGATAATGAACCTGCAACACGATCATCCTGTCAACAGCGGTGTCAGGCGAGAGCAACCACTAACCCCAAAGACTCAGCTTGTGCGGAAACGTTCGCACACTGCAGACGCTACTCGCGCCACGACCGCTCCGACCTCGGGCCGGCGAAGCGACGGTCGACGCAGAACACTGCGGTGAATCGCGTGCGCGGTGCATCGCGTGATTGGAGAACCCGGTGTAGTGCGAACGCAACAACATGGCCACTCCTGGAAGCCCTGAGTCCCAAACGTTCACGCCCCCTGAAGGCGCAATTTTCCACCCCCGCCGGCTTCTGCCGGCCTTCCGCCGGCTTGGGCTGGCCGAGGCGTCTCTGCTTTGCTTCCGACAGCTTCCGCCCAGGAGCTGCCAGCCCCGTCGATCCTCGACGACGAGGGGCCCTGCCTGGGGCGCACCACTCTGCGGGCAGCTCTGTCCAAGCATGCCTCGCTGGCCCTCGCAGCTGAGCTCTCCGCTGTGCACGCAGGCCCGCGCCCTCCCCGCTCTCTGCCGCTCTGGGGCCTCCGCTGCACCATGCGGAGCTGCGCCGCGTCGCGCGAGAAGTGGTCCTGTGCGGCTCCCCGCCCGCGCTTCCTCCGTGCGCCAGCCCCCCCGCATCCCGCTCTCTCCCAGCGGTGCCTGGCGGCGCCAGGGCCCCCCCTTGGGAGGGCGGGAGGAGCGAGGCGTGACATTTTCCAGGGCTTCGGGACGTCTCCGGGTTTTCTTCTGGCCCCGGGGGCGCTTTCCACCCACTGCGCCTCGCCGCGAGCGCTAAAGGGGGCGCCTGCGTTGTCCCGAACGGCCGCCGGAGGCCCGAGCGAGGACCCGAGAACCAGCGTGGCGGCGCGCACGAGGGGGGGCCGCCTCGCAAGGGAGCGGGGGGTCTCTTCCTGGAAGCCACAGGCGCTATAGAAGCCCCCAGGCTTCGAGGAGGCCTTCTCGGGAGCCTCGAGGCCCTGCCAAGATGACCCCCCGCTCCCAAGCGAGGCTTCGAGGCCCTTCCAAGCGAGGGGTCTGTTCCTGGAAGCCACAGGCCCTATAGAAGCCCTCCGGGCTTCGAGGAGGCCTTCTTGGGAGCCCCGGGGCCCTGCCATGAGGACCCCCCGGCTCCCAGGACGCCCCTCTGCGGCCCTCGTAGGTGGCCTCCCCCCTCGCGCTGCCGCCTTCTGCGTGCCGCCAGGGCGAAACGGATGCGGCGGCGACTCCGGCAGCCCTGAGCCCCAAAGTTCTTGACGTAGGGGGCAAACTAACCTACCTCGCTTTCGACCACCCTCGCTTCCAAGAGAGACAAAGCGATGCCAAACTACGGCCTGTACTGGTCAGGCCGCTTGACGGGGAGTCGCGTGGTATGGCTTGGCTTTGCCTGGAAGCGAAAGCGGGGTAGGTAATTCACGCTCTGAACAATTCTTGACGTCCCAACTGTTCTTCGGCAACCCTCTGCCGACCTTTCGCTGGCGGGCCCGCTGCCGTTCCACTTTCGCCAGCTCCCGCCCGCCTTCCGCCAGCCTTCCCGAGGGCGAGGCCGCGCCGCAGGCGGGGCCCTGCTCTGCGGCGCGCCATCCGAGGCCGAAGCAGGCGATGCAAAGCGCACCTGTGCCGGACGAGCCCTTCCAAACCTCGGGCCGCCCGGCTCCGCGCTCCGCGCCGTGTGAGGCGCAAGTTTTAAGTCGGGCGTGTCCCCCTACAGGGGGATTTTCGACGAAAAATAAAAAATACCCAAAAGATAATCAAACAATAGTCCAACAATAATCTGGGGACTATTTTTTGAATATGTTTTGGCCTTCTTGGGGTATTTTTGGGGTATTTTTCATTTTTCGTCGAAAATTCCCCTGTAGGGGGACACGCCCGACATAATGCAAGTTGCCTTCGCGCTCTCGCGCGGCCCCGGTGGAGAGCGCCGCCTCTCTGCCGGCCGGGCCGCGAGGCCGAGCCACCTCTGCGCCGCCGCGGGCGGCCTGCGCGCGGCGGGCTCACGGCGTGCTCTCAGCCTGCCGCGCGGGGCCGCCGGCATCGGCTGGTGGTAGCTCAACCTTGAGCGCCCCCTCCTCCTCCTCCTCCTCCTCCTCCTCCTCCTCCTCCTCCTCCTCCTCCTCCTCCCTCTCCCCCATCGCGGCGCAAAACTACCCCAGGTGGACCCGGTGGGGCGGGGCATGGGAAGCGGAAGCGGCCCACGCGCGGCGCCTGGCCCGCACCGGAAGCCCCGAGCCCACAAGCGTGGACAGCTCTTCGGGGGCGCTTGCTGCTGCGCTGGCTTCAGCTGACGGACCAGCCCCCACCCTCTGACGCGACGGAATAAGGAGGAGGAGGAGGAGGAGGAGGAGCAGGAGGAGGAGGAGGAGGAGGAGGAGGAGGGAGGAGGAGGAGGAGGAGGACGGAGGAGGAGGAGGAGGAGGAGGAGGAGGAGGAGGAGGAGGAGACGAGGAGGAGGAGGAGGAGGAGGAGGAGGAGGGAGGAGGAGGGAGGAGGCAGGAGGAGGAGGAGGAGGAGGAGGAGGAGGAGGAGGAGGAGGAGGAGGAGGAGGAGGGCAGGAGGAGGAGGAGGAGCAGGAGGAGGAGAGGAGGGAGGAGGAGGAGGAGGAGGAGGAGGAGGGAGGAGGAGGAGGAGGAGGGAAGCGGGCCCTGGGCCCCAGGCGGCTCTTGGCGGCCCAAAGGCCAGAGGAGGGCCCCAGGAGCTTGCACACGGCGCGGGGGGGGGGCGGCGAGACGCCAGCCTCTCGACCCGCGTGGAAGCCGCAGCCGCCGCTGGGTCGGCACAGGCCCTCTGGGCTTCCCGCACCCGCACCGGCTGCCCAGCACGCCTGCCGACCCGACGCGGCGGGCAGCCGCGCGCGCCTTCGGGCATGGCCCCGCTCCCTCTTCCGCCCTCTCCTCCTCCTGCTGCTGGACTCTGCCCCTAGCACTCGAAGATCGACAAGGAGGAGGAGGAGGAGGAGGAGGAGGGGAGGAGGAGGAGGAGGAGGAGGCGGGAGGAGAGGAGGAGGAGGAGGAGGAGGAGGGGAGGCAGGAGGAGGAGCAGGAGGAGGAGGAGGAGGCGGAGGAGGAGGAGGAGGAGGAGGAGGAGGAGGAGGAGGAGGAGGAGGAGAGGCAGGTTCCTGGCCTGGCTCCCGCCGAGGGCGGGCTGCCCGCGCGTCGGCCCCTCGGAGGCCGAGAGGCCGCCGCTGGGGCCCGCCCTCCTGGCTCCAGGCACCCGCGCCGGCGCAGCCCTTCGAGCACGCCCGCTGCCCCAGCAGCGACGTGCAGCCGCGTGCGCCCTCCCTCCTCCCTCCTCCTCCTGCTCCTCCTCCTCCTCCTCCTCCTCTCCTCCTCCTCCTTCCTCCTTCTCCTCTCCTCCTCCTCCTCCTCCTCCTCCTCCTCCTCCTCCTCCTCCTCCCTTCTCTGGCGCTGAACTCGCCGAGAAAAGATGCACACGCACGGGTGATGACAAGCAGTGGTGCAGCGTTCACGGCCACAGCAGGAGAAGAGCATGCCGGCACATCGGCAGGCCGCGCGCGATGCTCACCGCGCCAGAGGCGCGGAGCGAAGCTGGCCGAACAGATCGGCGCGGCCATCTCAGCCAGGCGGTAATCCTCCTCCTCCCCTCCTCCTCCTCCTCCTTCTCCTCCTCCTTATCCCTCTCCTCCTCGTCGTCCTCCTCCTCCTCTTTCTCTTTTCTCCTCGTCCTCCCCCTCCTCCTCCTGCTGCTCCTCCTCCTCCTGCACCTCTGGAAGCCGCAACAGCTCCATCCCTCGAAGCCGCAGGTGCTCTCCTCCTCTAATCGGCGCAGCAATCCTGCTACTCCTCCTTCTCCTCCTCCTCTTCCTGCTGCTAAGCTCTGTCCCCGACCTTCGAAGATCGACGGGGAGGGTTCCCGGACGCTGCGGTCACCTGAAGAGCGGTCGGGCACTTGTGCATAGCGTGTCGCCGCGGCGGCCCCGGCGACACGATGTGCCCTGCGAGCGGATAGCGTATCGCTCCGCTCCGCTGGGCGGAAGGCTCGGAAAAGCTCGAGGCGTGGATGCTTAGGAACCGCGAGACGGATCGCGTGTCGCGCCGAAGCGTGGTGGGCCACAGTCGGCGGAACGACACGTTAATAACCAGCCTCGAGCTGATCCCTATCCCTAAGATTGACAAGCCCACAGGCGGTAACAACCTCAGGGATGCGCCCTCAGCAGCTGAGGGAAATCTGAAGATCGGTACCGACAGATGGTGATGCCAACCATGGGGACAGGGATGCTTCAGGCTGGTAAGCGGAGCCAGAATCCCTGACCGTATTGTGTCGGACCTCCAGAAGCCGTCGGAGGCCTCCGGGCGGGCCCCCCGTGGCCGGGGGCTGTCTGGGGATCAACGCACTCACAACCGGATGGTCCTTCCCCTCCATCTCGTTTTCCTCCATCTTCCCCTATCCCTCGTCCCTCCGTCCTCCTCCCTCTGTTCTTTCTCCCTGCCCAGCTTTCCCCACATTGGTTGACGATCGAGGATGTGGAACGTTCTTGGATTGGTTTCTGGGCCTCGGGAAGCCTCCAGGGAGTGGAACTGAACCTTAGAGCTTGTCACTGCCTCCTCCTTCCTGATGCTGGCGCTGGTGGCGGGTTCGTCCAATGCTCCTCCTCCTCCTCCTGGTCCTCCTTCTGCTCATCCTCGTCCTCCTCCTCCTCCTCTTCCTCCTCCTCCTCTTCCTCCTCCTCCTCCTCCTCTTTCTCCTCATCCTCTTACTCCTCCTCCTGTTACTCCTCCTCCTCCTCCTCACGGGTCGTTGGCTTCTGCTGGACGTGGCGGTCTGGTTTCCTTTGCCATTATGAGAGCTCTGGCTGACGGTCCAGCACCACGGGCACTTCCGGGTGGCGCTCCAGGCAC